AGAGCTGGAAGGTCAAGTCTGCAGAGGCTGCCTTTCTGATTCTCACCCATCAATGCTTTTTATCTGGCCATTAGACATTAAAGTTTGCAACCCTTAGATTAGTTCTAAAACTTCTCTTCTTCTTTCCATTTAAAAATATACTTCTCTTTTTCCAAAGTCCTCTGGCTGCTTTTGATTCATTTCAATTGGGTCTTGTAGTCTGATTTCTTCTCTAATGTCTTGTGGAATTTTTTAACTTATGGATTGTTCGAATCCATTATACAAGATTCATCCATTTTTTAAAACACTTCCTAAAGTTTTGACTAAGTAAACAGTCGCTCTCGAATGCTTTGAACCTCAGGATGCTGCAATTCTTTATATATTGCATTTCAGTCAAAAGGCTTAAGGTTATGGTTCATGTTGTTGGGGGTTAATTTGTATAATAAATGTTGACACCGACAAGTGACAGGTAAGTAAAGTAGTGACCATAGGAATCTTATGTGTTTTTAAACATTTATGCAATAGATAAGTATAATACTAACATTTCCTGACTGATTACTGAATGCAAGGCATGGTGCCAAGGGCTCTGTCACTAGAAACCCTGTGAGGAAGGGAAGTATTATTTTCCCCATTTTAACGATTTGGAAACTGAAGCTTAAAGAAATTAAGAAGCTTATCCAAGTCACACAGCTAGTATGTGCCACGGCCAAAATAGAAACTCTGGTTATGTGGCTCCAAAAACTATGTAGTTAAGCAATAAATGATACTGTAAATCATAAAGTTTGAGTTAAATGGTGGGAGGTACACTACTCAGCACAAGGTTTGGAAAAGAATAGTTCTCTCAAAAACTTAATCTGAATTGGAGGCATTGATAGCAGCTAGTTCATTTGTGAAGTTGTAGCAGTAATCCAACAATAAACAAAAAGGGGTGGAAGTCATAAGGAGGGAGAATCGACAGAAGTGGGTGATAGATTATGTGACACTTGAAGTGGGTCTAAAGCTGGGCGGCTCCTGGCGGTCAGTTCCGGTGTTCACCAGCAGGGGCGCTAGATAACTAACCAGGAGCACCTGATAGACTATTTAAATGACTGACTTTGCCTAAGTCTTCTTCCGCTGGTGGGGCAAATGTTTGAGGCAGCAAAGAGCACGAAATGACTGACTTCATCAATTCTTCTTTTCAAATTGTTGTTTTATGTTTTCTTAGCAAACTTAACATCAATTAACTTTTCTAAGAGTTCACTATCAATTTTGTGAGTTATTTTAGTTTCTTAATATTTAGGCAATCAAGTACATTATTGTTTTTGTGACAATAAGTAATAGCTGTTATCATTATTATCATATGTTGTTCTGAGCACTTACTACCTGCCAGGAACTTTACTAGGTAGTTTATATTAATTATTTTACTTAATCTGCACAACAATATCCACGTGGTAGATATCATCACCCCATTTTACAGAATAGAAGGATGAGTCTTAGCGAGATCAAATAACTTTCCCTGGGCTAAGCAGTAAGTTAACAGAAGAGCCAGGCTTCGTGATTAGGCCTTTCTGATTCCCACTGTTTCATGTGACCTCTGCAGAACAAGAAAAAAGAACATAGTTGGGAAACTCATAGCATGGGGAAATGCATATTTTAAAAAGTGTTGATATGGAAACAGTATCAAATAAAATTGGTAAAATGAGGCTTGGGGATTGGAGACGTTTCAAACATTTTTTTTCTCTCCATTAGGCAAAGATAATTTTACAGAAGAAAAATATCACACTAAGGTTAAGAAAAAAATTGTTAGAAATTCTTGATTTTAAATTTACAAGAGGTTATTAGAGCTCTTACTTTGGTTTCCATTTAATATATTCAGATTTTTCTGTGAGTGAGGATAAGTGTTCGAAGGTAAGCAGGGACAGCTCATACCATTTCTGCTGCTCACCTCTTCTCCTGAGAAAATTAATCACTTACCGTTTCGGAACTCCAAAGCACAGACTGTACAGACACCTCCGCGTTTGCCAGCTTCAGAACTCGGCTTATCTCCTGGCTAAAGGGCTAATTTCTTGAGGGCAGCATCTTATATTTTGTGCTTGGTATGTAGTAGGCATTTAATAAATAAACAAACTGCAAATGGAAGGGGCAAAGACTAGTTTCAGAGGTCACGGAAAGAAATTTAAATCAGCTTACCTAGAAGATTGCCCCTGAGTCACCCCAAATAGTGGGGTTATCTATGAACTTGATTCTTGTCCATGATTTTATTACTTAACAAAACTTATCAGCATCATGCCATGGAGCTATCACTGTTATCAGATATTATGAGAAATTTCATCAGAAAGATGTGACATTTTTATCCAATTTGACAGCTTTGGGGAATTGTTAATTTATTTATTTTAACATTTAAGCAGCTGATTCTATGGCAAAACATTTAAATCAGAAGATGAGACATCAAACTTTATTTGATAAATATAACACAATAACATTTTAATTTTATATAAAAATCACTTAAGGAAGAGTTTAAGGGATGCAGGAAGGAGAAATGAAAGAAGAAATGAAGCAACAGCAATTTAGATGTTCAAAAGCATCTTGAAGGAACAAAATCAACTTACGTACTATTAATTCTTTACCAAAAAATATAACTCTTTAAATTCAAATGGATATTACTTCTAGAATTTTTGTGTGTTTATAGTGATAATTTTCACCAAAATTTGGAAATACAGGTATTCTTTACATCATCTCTTTTTCTCTTTTTTCAGTAATAAGCAACCTAATCTATTCAGGAAAATAAGGGTCAAATTGCATTTTATAGAGAAATAGGAACAGTTACAAAAGCTTTTAAACTGAGTCATCTCTTTGCAACTATAAGCATAATTTGCCTTTTAGATGAAATAAAATTGAGTGGATGGCTGATCTCGTCCTTGAAATGGCTATTCTCCATTTCTGAAATGACAGTTTATCAATGTCTTTCTCAATGTGGTAGCTCAGAGAAAATAATTTAGGACATGCCTTCAACTGCCATGTTTTATTTCCTCAGACTGTTTGCTGATAATTATAAAAGGTGATACATATGTTGGAGCTAGTTCATTTGGGCTCATGAGAGACCTTTGTGTGTGTATTCCTTCTCAACTCCTCATTCAGTGACATCACCTTGGTAGTTTGAAATCAGCCATGATGGGAATATTTACACCACAGAAGTAGGCAAATGTTTATTGTAAATGAGGGCTTTTGGGGTGGTGAGAAGAGGAAAGGTAGAGCTGGCTGTGAACATTTACTGGCACATCACTGAGTAGAGGATCTGTCTAAATACTCCCTTTCCATGCTTTATCGAACCATTCAACTTTCAATTCAGTAAGTATTTAAATAATGACCAATTATGTGCCAGGCATACTTTAATCCTTATAACAACCCTCTGAAGTAAGTAGTGGTATCCCTATTTTATAGAGTAAGAAATTGAGGCTTAGGGTAGTCCCATATCACTAAGTGGCAACATTAGAGCTCAGATTCAGATTTTTCTACCTCCAAAGACAATCCCTTTCACTTCAACCACTGCAGTGTACTACTCACAATCTGAGTTTCATCCCTACTCATACACATCGCCACCCACCTCTATCCTCAGGATATCACTTTTTCCGTCTCTCCTCCTGCATGTAAAGTTCAGTTACCTCAGACTGGCGAACTTACCAGAGGAGCCAGCCCTGAAATGAGAGGGTCCAGCTTTGTCACATTGTCCTGGAGAAATATCATGCAGGGTATTTCCAGGGTTAAATTGAAACATTTGGTGGGTTTTAAAACATTAGCAAAATGTAAATTTTCACTGTTATAGATCACCGCTGTTGAACCTAGGGGTTACGCATGTCCTAGGGATTCATTGTCCTTGGAGAGCTCAGTTCAAGTGTACTGGGTGTCTCTAAGTTCACCAGGCAGGTATGGATTTCATTCTCAGGAAGTCACTGTTCACTCGGACAGTTTAGCATTGGGCCAGTGTCTGTAGCTCAGTATTTGGAAGTTCTGTTTTCTTTATTGATATTTTAGTGTCTTAGCCTCAAGGTAACAGTACCTCCTCTGGGGTCCAGGATTCTCCTCTGTTGGTCTTTCTAGTCTCAGAAAATGTCGCATCCCATCACCCCACTCTGCAGACAATGCAGTTAAATTTGCTATCAATTGAAAACTCCTTCTTTACCCTGCTCAGCTAACCAAAAGAGCATTTCTGCAATTACTCAGTTATCAGGATGATTACAATTAATATTTATTCATAGCACTATATATTGTGATATAATTCTCATTATTGTCTTTCTATTAACTTATTACAATGACAATCATTGTAAAATACTGTGAACACAAATTGAATTCTCATATACCAAAGTAAACTATGAGAGTTCTACTAGGCAAGGTGCCATCTATGTTTCCTATATTACTTAGGAGAGTTTCTCACATGGTTTTACCCGCAAGCCATTCTATTTGATTGTGGTATCATCAAGATAGAAAAAACTGTTACTGGGGTGAGATTGTCTAATTTTGACCAGTCTGTTCTTGATCAAATGTGATTTAGGGGGCATTCTCACTGGCCACAACCCAGATCAGCCTTTTGAAGGTGTATTCTCAGGACACTAGTCTCTTGAGGTACTCCTTGAGAAAGCCATCAAATAATTTTAGATAATGCTACCCACAGATGATTTTATTGCCCGATATAGTATAAAAAGTTCTGGGAAGTCATACAGTCAAGAAATGTTCTTTCATTTAACAGATGTTTGTTGAGTACCAGGCAGTCATCTAGGTCCTGGAGTTACAGGCGTAAATAAGATAGCAGTCCCTGGTCTCAAAGAACTTAAATCCTATTTCTGTTTCAACTACAGTTTGTGGTGCTTAAGTTAGAGTTCTGTATGAGATGCTTATAACACCTCCCTGTAATAAGGTCAATTAGCGACTTGGAAAAAGGAACCTGGAGATTAAAAGAGATCATCACTGGGCATAAAATTTAGGAATTGTGGTATATAGCTTTAAAACCATAAGCCTGAGGCCTCCAAGGAGACAGTGTAGACAGGGAAGAAAGGGCACTTGAGCTAGAGCTCTGGGGCTGTCCACCTTCAAAGGTTGAGGAGAGGAAGAGGGAAGGAACCAGCAAAGGAGTCTGAGGAAGCTGACCAGTGAGGTAGGAAGAAAACCAGGACATGGAGAGGAGAAGGCATGATGAGAAGGCAACCCGCTCACTTTGCTCCACCCAGAACCCCGGATGCTTCATCCTGGTCTTCCTGTGTGTTTTATGCTGCATACATGTCCTCTAAGGATTAGGTATACATTTACCTGGGAGGCTGGGAGTGCGGTGCCTGTTACTACTGTACTCAACTGGGACACCAGGGAAAGAAGCCCACTTTTTTTGGCCCCAACCACTAGGATACCCTATGAGTACTAAGCACTGGTCTTGCCTGATGCTGGCACTGATGTCCAGGCTTTGTACTTCAGATGGAGATTTGTCATTGTCACTATAGGGGAGTAGAAAGACAACTTTTCTTCAGAATTGTAGGTTAAGTCTACTTAGAAAACAAATGTGCAACTGAACTTCTGAATAACACAGTGACGGCTTACAATTCTGCAGCACGAGGGCCGTCACCTTTCCATTTAGTCACGATGAACATCTATTGAGGTTCTAAAATATACATCGAGGACAATCCCAGGGGCATAGGCAGTACAAAGGTGAACAGGGTGTGAGTCTAGCATTAAAGAGCTTATGTAACCCACCTCTAAGGATAAGAAAATATTAAAAGTTTAAATGTACTGAGAAGCTTGAGGCCAGCACTTAAGTGGTGTTTGATTTCTGTCAATTTATCTATCAAAGGGGAAGGTTGTAAAGCATGGAACAGCAGAAGTCTCCCCAGAGAGGGCTGGCTTATTTCTGAGGCTGCTGTGTGGGCTAGAGTCCCACGGCCATTCTGGCAGGAAAGCATCCCCCACCCGCCTAGAGCCTCAGAGGCAGAAGAGGAAGGAGACCGTGTACGGATGAGACCTGGCCAGTCAGGTCAGAGACATTTGATGGTCATTGTGACCAGAGTGACCAGCCAAGCTAAGAGGTGTCTAGTGGCAATGCTAGTTCAGTGACTAAGCATCCAGAAAGAGGTCCTTAGATAACCAGGGGAGCTGAGACCTGCCCATAGGAGGCAACCAGCCAAAGAGAAGGTGAGGCCTGGAGCACAGCTATGGGGGGAAGCAGTATGGGGGAAACTGAGTCATCCCAGGCCAAGGCAGCCCACCCAAAGAGGAGAGAAAGCTCAGATGGGGATTTCTTCCCCCTCACATCCTTAGTAGGAATTAATCAACTGTTTATTGAGTACTTGTTATGGAGAAACAAAGCAGTACGCTGGCCCTGCGTCTGCTGGAGGAGACAGACAAGTGAACAGACAGTTATGGAAACCTGTTGTAAATAGGATAGTGGAGGCGGCAGCATGGACTAAAGCATCCTGGACTAATGACTGCCTGGGAAGAGTTATAGAAGATAAATCGGAGATATTCAAGCCAAAAGGAGGATGGGTATTCCCCACGGTCAAAGACATGGCCCTGGCAGAAAGACATAGAAAGGACGCTGATCTGCCTGGATTGAGTCATGCGCTTGAGAAAGTGGCTGCAAAAACTCTGTTGATTGAACTGAAACGTGCCACAGGGTTTTGCTGAGTGCAAATGCCAAAAGGAAAAGAGAGAAAGGCAAGACCCTTTAGACTGTAGGCAAGAGAGAGTTGAAGGAAGGTGGAACTATATCCTGGTTCGCTTGGCCAATCCTGGGTTATGCCTGTTAGTTACATTTAGTACAGTTTACACTCTTAGAAGTGTCCCAGTTTGGATGATAAATGACGTGGTCACCTTAGGTTTGAAAGATACATCATATAGTCTGGCTTGAAAAGTAAACCAGGAGAGGAAAACGCAGACACCAAAGGCCTGAAAGGGAGGATGTGGTCATAGAGTGGGGTATTAGATGGGTTTAAAGTTGCAGGGGTGGGTTGGCTCCAGGTGGCCACAATGTCCAGGGGCTGGGGAACAGAAATGGGGGGCTGCCACTTCATTTCTCAGTATCAGTGTTCCTCAAGACAGTGACAGGATCCAGGGTGAAGGAAAGAACTGAGTCAGTAGTGAACCAGTATGGAAGTCCCGCAAAGCATCTAATCAGACATGGAAAGTGGACCGAGGCTCGGACTGGGGACAGTGCTCAGTTTGTGCCCGACTCTGTGCTTCCAGTTCCACAGATGTAGAGACAGTTTTCTGTCTTTTTCTTTGCTTTATCTTCTGTGCCTGGGGCTGTGTGTGCTCAGTGAATACCTATTGAATGAGGGAAGGAAGTGCTTTGAATCTGGAAATCTCACTATCTGGGAGAGGGGTTTTATTTCTTCCATTTCACAGATGAGTGAGTAGGCTCCAGGGGTTTATTAGCTCGCCAGTTTCCTACAACTAGTAAATGGCAAGGCTAGAATTCAAACTGAGCTCTGTGTGACCCCAAAGCTCACATTACTGATCACTACACTATGTTAGTTTGGGTGGTCAGAATAAGACCCACAATAATTTCTTCATGTGCGTTTGTGTGTGTGTGTGTGTGTGTGTGTGTGTGTGTGTGTGTATTTAGTTGTAAAGAGCTTATTATATGCTAGGCATTATTCTAAATGCTTTACTTATATTTAATCCTCACAACCACCCTGTGAGGTAGGTGCTGTTATTATCCTTAAGTTTACAACTAAAGGAACTAAAGCAGGCAACATGGTTCCAGAGCTCACATCTTTAATCACGGGGATTTGCTGCTTTTTTACTTGTCCGTGAATTTGTGTGCATGTTTACAAACAGCATGGTTTAGTTGCTTCTTGTGCATTCCTCTGTTTATAAAGTCCAGATTTCAAAACTCTCCTCATGCGCTGAATTAATTATAGCTGAATCCGATGGCGGGTTCTGCTGCACAGCTGGTCACCGCAGAGACGTGGTTAGAGATGTGAGCTTCTGTGGAAGGCCTGTTACACACAGCAGCAGTCGGGAAAACGAGGACAAAAACACCCAAAAAATTGCTAGACTCTGAACCAAAACGATGAGAGTCTTAGGAAAGATACAAGAAAGCACTTTGGGAATACAGATGTCTAGTACAGGGGTCAGCAAACTGCAGCTCGCGAGCCACATGCGGCTCTTTGGGGATGTACATATGGCTCTGAAGTAAAATGGACAATGAAAATAAAACTATCATAGTTTCATTTATAAAATTTTTAAAGGATATTATTCACATGATGGTGATTATTTAAAAATATATTTATGGCTCTCAAATCATTTTTAAATTGTTGTGAGGGACAGTATTGGCTCTTCCAGGGGTCACAAACTTTTGCAACGGAACGTACCCAAAGAGCCGCATGTGGCTCGCGAGCCACAATAGGCTGGTCAAGGATGTTTGAAAGGATGGGAAGGTCATAGAACTCTGAAGATGCCAGGATATGTCAGAGGCCCCACTGAAAGTTGCAATGGGAAGAATAATTGTTAGCAACTTTTCCCTGAGCCTTTGTCTGACAGATTAACACCAACAGAGTCGGGCAATGTAGGTGTCCGAGGTTGCTGAGAATTTCTGTGGAAGGGCAAGGAGGTGGGAGGCACATGATAAATTCACAACATTCTTTTTTGCTCTACCACTTCATTTAAGGAAGCTACGCTTAGCTTTGAATTCATGAAGTCAATAAACAAACCACAAGAGGAAAATGAAATGTTCTGTTTCAGACTTGCACACCTACCCCTGTGGAGCGTGAACCCTATAAGGGAGAAGTCATTACATTGAAATCGAGAGGGACAAAAGAAGACTCCACAGCTGGGACCAAGAAATAGACCCACCCCTGACCTGGGTGCTATTGGTAAGTGATGGTGGACAAAGAAAGTATTCCTGCATGACAACTGATATGAATATAGCATCTCTCTCTTCATAAGCATTTGAAGAGTCCAGGGTCAAGGTCAAAGTGACATAAGACTCAAATACAGTTTAGCTAAGGAAAGACTGATAAAAGACCTCTTGCCACAGAACAACACTTAGATGAGCCTCCAGATTTATTCTCTGAGATGTTAGGAAACATTCAACAAGAGCCTCGGAGAATCAAACATGAGCAAGAGACAATAGGCTGGTAACACAGAGAGACCTGTTACTGAGGAAAGCGGGTACTGCTTAAAACAGGGAGTACAATTTGATGGTCAAAATTTATAAATTGATTAAGAATTTATCTGGAAAAATGAATTTTCATATGGTAAAAGCAATTATATTCTAGAACTTAGAATGAATGATAAATGAATCAAATGTAGCTTTAGAGGGATAATTTTTCAGGAAAATTATTGGATAGTATTTGGTGTACTTGATTTCACACTTGATTTTTGGAATAATATTGTGGTCATTTTTGAATGCTTCATCAGTTTTCTCTTAGTATTTTGATATTGAGATCTTTTTTTCTTGAAGTACCTATTATCATCCATGTTAATTTTTTTCGTCTTTTTTTTTTTTTTTAAGTTGTTTTCTGGTCCTGCTTCATCAGGTGCCCATTTGACAGAGGCCTTGTGATTTAAGCATCTCTCTAACTTCACTTTCACTGACTTCATGGAATCTACATCCTTTGTCAGTTTTGCAATGTCACTGGGCTCTAAGTTTTTTAAATCTGTGATACATTTTCAGGTGTTTCAAAGCAGAGCGATCTGCAAAAAGCTTACAGAAAAGGTTGACATGATGGATGGATGTTTGTGTTAATTAGAGACACTGTTTGTCAGAGGGCTCATGTTATACATACCCTGTTAGGCATTACACATTTTCACATTATGATAACCTATGTTTTCCTCCAAAAAAACGCCATGACTCAAATAATGAGGTTTGTGCACTATGTATTGTGCTCTCTTTCATTACTGAGAGTTGTGAGCCTTTATCAACGTTATATAGCCACAGTTTCAGCATCTTTGTCATTTTCTGACTATTGGGATTATTCTTGTAAACTAGGAAGATTGTGTTAAAAATTCAAAGGAAGATTAACAAGAGGAAGAAATTCTATTGAATGCTCTAACATGCTTTTCACAGCATTTGCAGGAGCAGGATTAGTGTTTACTTTGATGATAGCATTTCTTGAAGGTTAGGCTTGAGTTCTGCATCTGTTTGTTAGAATGTTACACTGAGTGCCTTTTCTTCTGTTCAAAATCAAAGTCAGAGAAAAGGATGCCGCTGTTCCCATCACAGTTAAACGTTGTCAGCCATGGAGAAGCAGGCTTTACTTCAACTCCCCAAGATCCTTTTGAAAAAATATCGCTCCTGGCCTCTTTGATATCCTTTCAGAAGCAATTGCTGTCGTTCTCACCGTGACTTTGCAGCTGTGTAAGATTGAAGATATAAATGAATACTATTGTGACGGCGAGTCTGTGTGAAGGTTCATTGATGACACTTCAAAATGTCATTTTTGCTTGTGCTAGATTTCTTTGAATTTTTAAAAATCACTTTTTTGGTTAAAGTTTTGTTTTAATGGCTGCATTTGTTGAAAATTGCAAACTCTGATTTTACATTCTATTATAATTAATAAACATTTAGATCTTCATTTTACACCTTGTTATCTGAATGACGAGTGTCTTCTAACTAATAGGATTGGACTCGGGGAGGTTGGTTTTGATTCAAAAGCATAATTTCCTGTGTGACGTCTGTCTGCTTCAGCAACTCCTGGAATTCAGGTCCCTCAGCAAACCCCATGTAATCAAATTGGATGCTCAACCTTAATATAACTCCAAGGCACATTATGCAACCACACTGACAAGTGCAGGATTTGAGAAAGTTAAATGGAATCAGCATGTCTGAAACATGGTGCAGCGATATCCTCTTTTCCCTGTGCTTCCTGGTCTGTACTGGGATCTTTGTGTGTGTGTGCAGAGAAGCTGAACTTCTATTTCTTCTCCAGGTCAAGGGGGATTTTTAAACTGTGTATCAGGTAAAACTCAGGGCAATTATGCTCTCATTGCAGGTACATCTGCCCCTGACTTTCCCACTTAGATCGTGGGTATATTCACACAGTTCACAAAGGGTCTTAGGAACCCAGTTTACCCAACTGCAATTTGCATTGAACACAGAAGAATGGACAGAGCACTCCATCTAGAGAAGAGCCGCAGGTCTTTTTTCTCAGGGAAGAGATACCTTAAAATATTTTATTATTTTTCCTTTTCTCCTCCGCTTTGGTTGACAATAGGAACTCCACATAAAGATGATTGAATCCTCTGGGGGGGAAAATAATAAGCTGCTTTCTTCTTTAAAAGCCAAGTCTCACTCGTCCTTTAGTATTTAACTGAAAGAGCGCCCTCTCTCAGAAGCTTTCCCGGATCCAACCCGACGGGGTCATGTCCCACTTTAAGTTCCTCCGCAGCAGGGCCCCGCCTATGCCCCATCACACCGCCAGTATCTTACTGCATGATAATTACCTGCTTTACTTGTCTGTCTCCTCCGGGGAACTGCAAGCTCACACAGGGGAGGGTCGGTCTGGTTCACTATTATTTCCCTAGCGTTTAGCTAAGTGCCTGGCCATTGATAGGCATTCAATGGCGATTTTATTTTTAAATAAAGGAGGTGAAATAATTCTTTCTAAGTTCTTAAATTGACATAAATGAAGTTAGTGAGCATTTTCAACGTATAAAATAGGAATAAATTTTGTGGTAAGGGTGCTTTAAATGAAGAATACAGATTCACTATCAATTTGATAGATCTCTTTGGGAGAATGAAATAGCCATAGGATTCTACATCGACAAAGCCATTTGAAATGATTAAGAGGATCTCTTTATTGCTTTGATTAGGCTTACTGGCAAATATTTTGCAGAAACATAGTTCTAAAAACAATATAAGGTAACTGGAAAACATGACTCAAGCTATTAATACTTTTTACCATGTTTTTTGGGATTGCCACTGATATACGGAGTAAAATCCCTTTGCCACACAAAACAATTGCATTTTCAAGGTCTGTACAAAGAAGAGATATAATGAGTAGCGTTCCTTCTCTATATTCACCTTCCCTTGCCTCCTTCCTCTGATGGGCAGTGTGATGCACTGGGAAGAAAAAAAAAAATTGTGGACTCTAAACTTTTATTTACTAGCTGTGAGGCCTTGAGTAACTTTTAAAATTAAAATATATTTTGAGCTTATTACAACATACAAAAAGCAAAAAAACAAAACAAAACACAAAACAAAACAAAAACCATAACCATCCCTATGTACCTATGTACCATGTAAGAAATAGAACTTTAGCAATACAGTTGAAGTGCCCTGTGTTCCTCTCCTTTTCCTTTCCCTTTTCCTCTTCCTCCCCCAAGTGAACCAGAGTCCTGAATCTGGTGTTTTAGTCCCATGACATCTTTTAAACCTTTGCTATCTACATACACATGTCTAAGCACTATGTTGTCTGTGGTTTAATCTTATAAAACTATTATACCGTATGTATTGGTTTTTTTGTTGGTTTGTGGCTGTTTAGCATGTATTGTTCTGATGCCTGCTTTTTTGCAGTCAAGGTGTTTAGGAGTTGTTTTGATAGGTCTTGCTCTCATTAACCATTTTATTGCTACATAATATTCCATCGTATAACCCTACACAATCTATTGACCTATTTTCCTGTCGTTAGGCTGTTTCCATTGTCCTGCTGTTATGAACAACGCTGCTGTAAGCATTTTTGTCCAGCGTTCCGTGTGTACACCATGAGAGTATCTCTGAGTACCCGCACTCAGTAGAGAGGAGCGAGAATGATGGGTCCTAACATGTGCGCATTCTCCTTTCTTTGCTACTGGCAAATTGTTCTCCTAAGTGGAAAGTTATGCCTTCAGCAACATAGTGTAAGACTTGCCATTGCTCCACATTAGATATTGCCCAATTAATTAATTGTGCCAATCTGTTGAATAGAAAAGGCATCTTATTGGAGTTTTAATTTGCATTTTCCTAAGTGCTCATGAGGCTGAGCTCCTTTTCATTGTGCAGTTTAACTGGCCTCATTAAGCCTCAGTTTCTTCATTTACAAGATGAGAATGATAATAGTATCAACCTAACACGTGAGGGTGCTGTGAAGGTTACAAAGCCCATACTGTGCAGTCAGCACATGCGAGTGAGGGTTACTGTGCTAATAGCCATATGATGAATTAATAAATGATGTGCTACCCAGAGACTGCCAAAGTCTTGACTCTTCTCTTTCTGTGGGAAAGCTTGCCAGGCGTGGCAGTGCCAGCTCCTTTGGCAGCTCCAGGAATATGGAAGCCAAGACTGGAAGGAAGGGCAGAGTGGGAGCAGGCATAGGATGAGAGCATAGCGTGGGTTCGGAGAGGGCTCTAGGTCCGTGAACATAGTGGTCCAGGAACCTGGCACCGTATAAGCTGTCTGAGCAGGGGCACAAGCTGAAATATGTGGAATCAGTAGAGCCTGGCTCTTAAATGCCACCTGTAGGTCCAGCAGGTCCCAATATCAGCATCTGCCAGCTACACCTGGGACCCGCTTCTCTCAGTGCATTCTCTGCCCTCTGCTTGCCCACTGTACCGCAGGCAGCATCCTATAGGGAAAAGATCGTGGGCCTGTCACAGGCTTTAAAGTCACAAAAGCTGGTTTGGAACCAGTTGCACAAGATACTTCTTAAATTTCCCGAGCCTCAGTTTCTCTATGGACAAAGTGGCTCTAAATAATACGTCCTTTGCAGAGGTTAGTTGAAAGGATTCATTGAGACGATCCAGTAAAGCCCCTGGCTCTCCACCAATGGAAGGTCAGATTCGTCCTCTTCCTATTGCCCGTCTCTCACACCAGCTTTTATTCTTTTCTTTCCCTTCTTTTTCATCTACCTACTCCTGAGCCCCCTGAAAACACAAATAGGTTAATTAGATTTCTTTTTGTCAAACCCACTTTCTCCCTTTCCTTCTTTTTGGAGAATATCTGTGGACAAGTTAAAAAATAAAAAGCAGTGGACCTACTGTTTATTAAACACCTACTGTTTATAGAACATGGAACCACTGTCCCTCAAATGCAGTGAGTGGAACAGAGAAGTGCTCAATGAAACCTTTTTTTTTTTTAATTGGGGAATTGGGGGAGGTGAACAGTGTTGGGGAATTGGGGAAAGGGACCAGCCAAGTTTTTGTTCTTCAATCTTAGTTGTGGAGGGCGCCAGTCGCCATCTGGCTGCCTGTTGGCAGCTCGTGGCCTCTAAGCTCAAGGTGCTGTGTTACAATCTTAGTTGCGGGTGGGCGTAGCCACCATCCCATGCGGGAGTTGAACCAGCAGCCTGTTGTTAAGAGTGCGTGCTCTATCCACTGAGCCATTTAGGTGGCAGCTTAGCTCACGGTCCTGAATTCAGTCTTAGTTGTGGGCGGGCATAGCCCATCATCGAAAAGCAGCCTTGTTGTTAGGAGCACGTGCTCTCACCAGCTGAGCCTTCCTGCCATCTGTTGGCAGCTCAGTGGCAGCTCAGCTCAGGCGCAGCATCACTGGCCCATGTGGGAATCGAACTGGTGGCCCTGTTGCTCAGATGCTCTTGAGCTAACTCTTAACCAACTGAGCCACTCGGCCGGCCCTCAATGAAATCTTTTCGAAGGAGTCAATTAATTTTGGGAATAGTAGATGATGATGATGATGGAAGAGAGAAATCATTCATGAATGAAAATTAACAGTAGAGCAAATCATTGTTTATCTTCAGGGGTCAGGACTGCATTTGTTTTAGGAGCTATCCATCCATAGTGTGTCAGGGGACTTTGTAAAAATGTAAATGACCAGTTTTAAAATATATTTGCCCATGTTTTGTCTCAGCCTATATGATAATCTAACATGATAAAATAACTGTTATATTTATTATGCAAAATATTTGCAACTGCATTACAATTGGCAGTTCCTTGAGGGCAGGCACAGTTTCTTAACAGCTTGTGCCCCAAAACACACCAGCACAATGGTTTACATGGGGTAGACCTTTACGATGGGCTTAGTGAATTGAAATTACAGCAGTGTCCCCTTATCCATGGCTTTACTTTCTGTGGCTTCAGTTACCTGTGGTCAACAGCAGGCCAAAAATACTAAATGACAAACTCCAGAAATAAACAATTCATATGCTTTAGATTGCACAGCGTCTGAGAGGCATGATGAAATCATGCACCGTCTTTCTCTGTCCCTCCTGGGCATGACTCATCCTTTGTGCATCATCTCCACGCTGTATACACTCCCCACCTGTTAGTCCCTTAGCCGCCTTGGTTATCAGATCAACTGCTGCACTACCGCAGTGCTTGTGTTTAAGTAACCCTTGCTTTACCTAATAACCACCTTCACATAACTTTTATTACAGTATATTGTTACCATTGTTCTATTTTATTATTAGTTATTGTTGTTAGTCTCCTACTAGGCCTGATTTATAAATTAAACGTTGTCCTAGGTGTGTGTGTGTATAGGAAAACACATAGTATGCATACGATTCAGTACTATCTGATATTTCAGGCATCCACTGGGGGTCTTGGAACATATTTTCCAAGGACAAGGGAGGACTTCTATAATGTAACATGGCTGAGAGGATTTAGAGGAAAATGTCTGAATTTGGAAAGGTTTTCTGAAGGAAAAAG